TAGAGCTTTTTCTTGTTTTATTTTGCTCAGAATTGCTAGACAAGTCAAAAATGTGCATAAACCCATGGCTTTAACGTTCTAAATGATAGACTTTAAACAGTAAGAGAGTTCTGGTTCTGAAAGTCAGCTGTCCTTCTGATACAAACATTTTTATTTTACTTTGTAAATATTTACTCTGCTTAATTAGGCCTTTGGTCATTATAACCTTGCTGTGTGGAGTTATGAGACTTACAGCTGATAATAGGATAGTGACAAGATGATATTTCTTGAAGATTATATATATCTGCTTGATTGTAAGATCAATCAAAATAGGATTTTCATTAATGATACAGACACATTGGGGAGGAAAATAAATTGTGCATCCAACACCCATACTGTTGGGATGCTACTGAATGATAGGGAGAGGTCTATTTAACTAGGTACCTAACCTCACAAAACCATCTTCAAGCTTTTTACTTAGAATAAAATAAGGAATCTACAGTATTGCCACACCATTTTGATTTTAACTGTTGTTATTTTTCTCACATTTGAGCAATTGGATTAGATCTACCTGGATCAAACTTGCATGATGAATGATACATTGACCAAACTATAGAATACCAAATTTGTATGGTGGTTGAACACTAAATAACTTGTTTCAGATGCTGGGACTGATTACCAGATCAAGTCAAAGCTTTTGGAGTAGAACCATTCCCAAGTAAATACAAGCCCTAAAAGGACAAAACTTGCATGGATGATGCATCTAGGAATGCTGGATCTGAATGACATTTTCTACATGAGTGACCAGAATGTAATATTTGCAGTAAATCTTTTCCCAAGGTACTATAAGGCCTACCTGGACCAAACTTTCATGGATGATGTATCTAGGGATCATAAGACACTAACAGACTTGCTAAGGATGATAGATCTGACATATATTCCAAATGACTATTAATTTTGAAGCAGTCTTTAACGAATGTATTGTTTTTGGAGCTGTCTATAACTATATTGCCTGTAATAAAGAAAAATAGCATGGATGATGCAAACAAGCCCGTGTCCATCCTTCTGTCTGTCCTTCCATCCATCTGTACTTTTAACATTTTAAACTTCTTCTCAAGAACCACTGGGCCAATTTTGAGCAAAGTTGGTACAAAGCATTCTTTTGATAAGGGGATTTTAAATTGTTAAAATAAGGGGTCAAGCCTCCTTCCAAGGGGAGATGATCACGAAAAGACAGAAATAGGATGGAGTCATTAAAAAATCTTCTTATAAGAACCACTGGGTCAGAAAAATTGAAACTTATGTGGAAGCATCGATCCTAGGGTAGTGTAGATTCTGAATTATTCAAATCATGACCACCAGGGGTAGGACAGAGCTACAATAGGGAATCCTAAGTTTTTCATGAATATATATAAGAAAAATCTTTAAAAATCTTCTTCTCAAGAAAAACTCTAAGGTTGGAAAAGCTGAAACCTATGTGGAAGCATCCTTGGGTAGTGTAGATTCTAAATTGTTCAATTCATGACCCCCAGGGATAGGGCGGGGCCACAATGGGGAATCAAAATTTTACATAGAAATATATGGGAAAAATCGGGTAGTGTAGTTTCTAAATTTTTCAAATCATGACCCCCCAGGGTAGAGTGGGGCCACAATAGATATTAAATAGAGGGATCTGGTGACGAACAGGGCCAGTTACATAGGTGAGCCTTGTGGTCGATGGACCTCTTGTTATTGATTTAGATTATATTGTGAAAATGAATATTTCTGTAAAAAATTTTCCCTGGTTCTTGGTATATTCAGAAAGCTTATGACGTGCATGGTTATAGCAAGAAGGCATATTCCAAAATGTTAAATTTTCAATTCATGGGCCCAGGGTCAGGGACTTTGGTATTGAGGTACATTCTAAAATGTTCTTTTCTGCTTTGTGGTACTTAGCAGATAATGGAATCTCATAGTTATTACAAGCAGAGATGTCTCTTCCAAAATTTGTTCTATGATTTGAGACAAATAGTTATATAGAAGTTATAGAAGTACCTTAATTCTTTTAGCTACAGAGCTCCAGAAAAGTACCTTAATGATTTGAGATGAAGTTCTATAGATAAGTACCTGTGTGATTTGAGATGAAGATGTATAGATAAGTACCTTTATGATTTTGATGAAGAGTTCTAAATAAGTACCTTTATGATTTCTATGAGATGTAGGTCAAACAGGTCCTCCTGGAAACACTGTCCCAGAAAGTCGTCTGTGACAAGAAGGTCCTCCACTATCATCATATGATTCTTCTGTAGAGCAGTTCTCTGTTGCTTATCCATTACTTAATCACAATGTTCTATTGACATTAAAATTCCATAAACTCGCAAGTCCAAAAGGTATCAAGTATTACTCGTCTCGAGACAACATATGGTTAGAGAGTAAATGTACTGATGCATTTTGGATACACAATAAATCCTTATAAATATTTTGAATTTCTGTGATTTTTGTCACATATTGTGAACTTACTCCATGAAGAGATTGAAATCTAGTTGGAGGTAAAAGACTCCAGAAAGTGCCAAAGTCAATATTTTGCCTGGGTTCTGATAGTAGCTGGGCAGTGCTGTACTTTCTTTCACTTGCATACCTAAATTTGTTTTATTTAATCAGCTGAAGTTGACAAGAAACTGATTAGAAGTGGGCAATTTTCTCTCACTTTCACCCAATCAGCAATAAACCTGAGCTTATTATTGAGAACAGAACTGAATTCTTTTATGTATGGTAGAAATTTATATTGTTAGGTCTAGTGTACTAAATTTATTGAGTTATTAAAACTTGATAATTTTAGTTTTGACAATGAAGAGGATTCAGGTTCATTATCTTCTATACTTATATTGATATTTTCAACATCTTGCATTCATCATGACACAAAAGAGTGCATTGATGGAAGGGGGATAACTCAGCTTTGATAGAGCATTTTGATTCCCAAAGTTCTTTATAGTTAGTTAATGATATTGTTAGAGGTTGCTTGATATTCACAACTTTATGAAGTACAGTTGGTTTATTTTGATGCAAAAGTTTACTATTGTAAAGCACACTTACAAGACAGTGCCAGGGATGCATGGACAATTTTGCTTCATAATAAACATAATTTGTTATATTTGTTAGCTTCATATTAATATGTTTAAAACCCCAGGGGAATGAAGATCACTTTGCTATAAATGTCAATTCATTTTAAGTGTGTTTCTATAAGTGTGTTTTATTGTATAGATTTTCTACAAAAAAGCAATTTTCCTCCAAATATTAATAAGAGTTTTTGCACATACAGTCAAATCATTATCTCTGGGCAGGAACAAGATAAACCACTGATCTTAAGTCAGAGATATTCTGGAATTAAGATACCTTAAGACTAAAAACATGAAAGTAAAAGTGGTCGGGCCTGTATATTGTTAACAGTGGATAGATATTGATCGTTAAAGTCAAATCATTCACTTCTTTCTTATCCTAGTAAGGCAAAATTTATATTTCACCTAAACATTTACTGAATTCCATCCACAGCTTTATACTATAACAGACAGGCAGTAATGGTGTATACCATATTTGATAAACTCAGTTTTATTGTTGAAGATGCCAGAAATTAATACAGTTTGAACTTCTGGAATACTGCAAGTTCAATCAGCTGTTAAAAGACTAATAATAATTCTCATCTCCAAATGCATGCTCTGCAACAAATATAATCATCATCTGTCTGCAAGCAATTGCATGATGATCGATACATAGTATTTATTATGTTGAACAAGATACCTTTTATTTAACAAAAATTATATTCTAAGGAATTTTGAATTATATAACTTTGATTTCACACTCATTAATGACACTTGAATTTGTATAATTCTTGTTTAAAAATTTCTGTGTTCTTTTCCTACTCAGCTGCTAAATTTCCCTTGTGTTAAAATATGCATAAAAGAACTATACTTGTAGCAACATAGCAACACAACAAACATGCTAAATATATAATCATAGGAAAAAGTAGGGGGACTCCCTATTTCCATGATTTGGTAATTACAAGTCTTTGAATGAATTGGAATTATTTTTGTGCAAATAACACCTGAATTTTTCTGCACATAAGAATTTTCTTTTTAAAAAGAAAAAAAAAATATATGATTTAAATATTTAAATTGACTTGCAAAATGAAACTGTAGTAATGTTTTATGACATTTTTTGTAAAGAACATGCATTTCAGTCAATGCTAAGAGGATTGGATTTAAGCCAATAAAATGAACAAAGGAAAATAACTCTAACTATAAAATCTTTCTCTTCACAATATGAAGGAAAAATGTTTAATTAGTGTTTCATTGCTTAAGGGACTCCGATCCTCAGCCAGGAAGGACAACTCTTTAATTTATAATTTAATTCAAAAAGTCTCAAAATGAAGCTTAAAAATTAAATCTTTTCATGCAACAATTTTCATTATATACCTCTCAATGTGCTTCAAGGTTCTTTGAAGTTCGTCTATTAAAAGTTTTTACCCCGTAAAAGCTTTTTAAAATTAGATATATCAAGTAATTGTTCATTTTAATCACATGATAAGAAAATAGAAGTGATTTATGGAGCTTTGCAATGACAGGAGAATCTTTAAACATTTCGCATTGTAAAATAAAAGAAATTAAAGTACATTATATGTATAAAAAAGCCTGGATATCTATGATTTTTATTCACAAAATGCATTGATTGATCAAATTTGAATTAGAAAAATGTTTTTTAAGTATATTTGTTTACTAATTTTCTCTATATAATATGATGAACTTGAGAGATGAAGTTGGCAAAATGTAAAAACACGTTATTTTGAAAATTCAGTTTTGTGCATTTTCAAATGTTGATTATTAGAACACAGTACCTTAAAATTCTTATTTGGCAAAATGTGGCGAAACTTGGCAAAATGTTTCACAGACTTGAAAACAATTTGTGAAGAAATTTTTTAAATATTCTTTTAAAATCCACAACTGTCAATTTTAAATTGATTCCAACACTAAATATTGTACATATGAAAATCACTTGAATGGTCCACCATTCCCCTTCCGTGGAACTGCAGAAGATCTCGCATTTGAATATTTCTTACTAGAATATGGAATAGAAGTGTCATTTCTTTTGCTAGTATATGAGAGAGAAGCATTGGATGGTGCTCGCTTTGTAGAATAAGGATTGGCATTGTCATCCGTAGGTCTTACTTGATTAGGACGAAAAGACCTACGGGATGCAGGCACTCGGGAACTATTGCTTTTGGTCTCCAGTGAGGCACGCGTTTGAACACTGCGCACACTAGCGGTGGACAAATCTTGTTGGGAGCTTTGAATTTCTCGCACCATGTTTCGAAGGTTTTCCAGAGTCTTTTGTTTTTCCACATGCATCATGTTGATTTGTTCCAGTTTGATGATTTGGTCTTTGAGCCGGGTGTTTTCTGCCTTGTATTTGTTCATCTCCTCAGCCTGGTTGTCTATGACTTGCTTCATCTGATGTCGGACCTGCTCCAGTTTCGTCACTTTCTTGGAATATTCATAGAGTTCTGTCAACATTTTTTCACTTTTGTTCTTCTCTGATTGCAGATCTTTGTCTTTGTTTTTTCCACTCAGTGACAAATCATAGATAAGCAGAGACAGAGACATATTTTTCTCTCTGTCCCCTAACATTATGTGACACTTGTTTATCTCATTTTCCATTTTTTCCACCTTTTCCACTAATTTATCCACCTCGGCAAGTATTAAATCAAAAGAAGAAGGGGTTGTAGATTTCTTTCCATTATCTTTACAATTCTTATTATCGGTTTCATTACCGTTTAAAAAGTCATTGTTAGAAAGCTTTTTCATTTGGTGGAGTTTTTCACTGATTTGTTGTACTCTCTTGTGGAAAAGTCTTTCAGAGATTCTGTTTTCATCGATAATTAAATCCTCTGTAGTTGTGGCCTCATCCACCATGGGTGGTGGAGTAGCCATGGAGGAATTTGTCCGTGAGCTGGAGGCAGACACAGTCCGCTTTCTTTCCATTTGAAGCTGAACAGACATCCAGCGAAGGATACTTTTCTTGTCATTTTCAGATATTCGCTTACTCTGTCCAAACTGTTTGTGGACAAAGGTACTGACTCTCGCTTTAATGTCTGGCTCTGCCTCATTTGGGTCAATGCAAGAGGTGGAGCGGATATTGTCTGAAAGGAATTTAAGTATCCAGATTATTGGTATATAGAACTTGAACCATTGGCAAGTTGTCTCTCTTTTCCTTCAAAATCAGTTTGATAATACTATGCAGCTTTTGATATAGATGCTGGTTAGGAAATAAGAAGATTTACCTGTAAAATCACTTTTGTGGGAGTCGATCCTGCAGGATTTGGCCATTTCTGTCTTGAGACTGCTCTGTAGAGTGGCTGCTAACCACGGATAGTCATTCTGTATGATGTCTAGGAAGTTATCGAAGGCATCGGGCCCTCTCTTAGGGAGCATCTCTAACATCTTATACACCATATCCCCCTCTGTCCGCTCAGCCTGGAATACAAGACCCCGGTTATTAAGGCAGTGTGCAGGATAACAGATATAAACAAGAGGCCCAGGGGCCACATCGCTCACCTGAGCAATTGGCTAGAAAAAAGCACATATCAGATCAGAACTGAAAGTTTACTGAGGGTGGTGAGGGGCTATTGATTTTGAGGTCAAAAGGTCAAAGGTCAAGGTCATAAATAAGATTTGAAAAACTAGAATCTACAATACCTGAGGATGATTCCCAATAAATTTTACATAACAACTGGCTGTGGCCTAAAGAAGAAGATTTTGAGGTCAAAGGTTTCCCTATATATATACATTTAAAACTGTGTGTAACAGCCATTTGGCCCCATATTTCAAGAAGATTTTGAGCTTATGCCATGTAATTTTATACCAAAACTCCCTGGGAGGTCTCTCGCCCCTCTCAAAGTGCCCCGCCCCGTTTGTTTTATCTTTCCTGTATTACATGTCGCTATTTTTAGCGCAGGGGCATGAGGAGAGTTATTGCGTATAAAACAGGTTCTCGGCGGACTTTATGTTATTATTACATCTATTATAACTGTTTAATAAAGGCTAAATAAATCAAACACCATGGATTGTGTAAAATTTTGAGAATACCGAACAAAAACATGAATATATACACATGTGACTTCAGTCCTGCATATACTTCACTTCGAGTTTCAGACTTGGTCTAGTGGTTATGTCTCTCGCTTCAAATGTGAGAAGTTTTTTAAAAATGCCATTAATTTTTCTTTTTTTTTTTTTTTTTTAAATTTTTTTTTTTTACTAAATGATAGTATTCAGCATGTGAAATGAATTTATGAGGTTATAAAATCATCATTACAGTGTGATAAATATTTCATATAAAAAAATCTTCTATACACATAATAAAGAATAAGCAATCAAATCTTTATATGCATATTGACATACATGTATTTTATTTCCTTCAGTATACATGTAACATTTGAAAATTTACAAATTCAGTCAACGACAACGAGCGGGGGACACGAATTCTCTGAATTAGCTTGTTTTATGTTAACTCTTATTCCTTGATATTTAGCTCACCTGAGCTGAAGGCTCAAGTGAGCCTTTCTGATCACATTTTGTCCATTGTCCATCTAGCTGGCCGTCCGTCCGCCTGTCTGTAAACTTTTCACATTTTCGACTTCTTCTCAAGAGCCACTGGGCCAATTTTAATCAAACTTGGTACAAAGCATCCTTGGGGGAAAGGGGAGTTTAAATTGTAAAAATACAGGGCCAAATCCCTTCACAAGGGGAGATAATCAAGAAAAGACAAAAATAGGATGGGGCCATTACAAAATCTTCTCAAGAACCACTGGAACTTATGTGGAAGCATCCTGGGTACTGTAGATTCTAAATCGTTCAAAGCATGACCCCCGGGGGAAGGGCAAAGCTACAATACAGTTTTTCATAGAAATATATAGGAATTTTTTTTTTGGAATCTTCTTCTTAAGAACCACCGGGCCAGAAAAGCTGAAACTTATGTGGAAGCATCCTGAAGTAGTGTAGATTCTAAATTGTTCTAATCATGACCCCCAGGGGCAGGGCGGGGCCACAATAGGGAATCAAAAGTATTACATAGAAATATATAGGAAAAAATTTAAAAAGTGTTCTTCTCAAGAACCACTGGGCCAGAAAAGCTGAAACTTATGTGGAAGCATCCTGGGGTATTGTAGATTCTAAATTCTTCAAATCATGACCACCGGGGTAGGGCGAGGCCACAATAGGGAACACAAGTTTTACATAGAAATATATAGGGAAAAACTTTAAAATTGTGCTCTGGACTAGCAAAGCTTTTTGGAAGCATAAAATTGATTTTAAATTTTGATATAATGACCCATGTGGAAGGATGAGGTCACAATATGTATTACAAGGATAAAATTTGGTAAAGAACAGCATGGTCAAAGCTATAAGGTGAGTTAATTTATATTTCCTCTTGTTATAGCTCCACTGGTCAGAGACCAAAAAAAAAAATTTGACTTTTTTGAGATGGTTAAATGTCCGTCCGCCTGTCCATCTGTCTGTCTGTAAACAGTTGTTCAAAATGCTACTCCATATACAGTTTTGGTCTGATTTCAATATAGTTTGGCACATTAGTAAACTGCAATAAGGTTCATAAATCTGTGCATGTATTAGTTAACTTGGCACACAAATACAGTACATACACTGTCTAAGGTACATAGATCTGTGTATGAGTTTCTGATTTGATGGATTGTACATGTTGCCATGATTACTAAATTATAAAAAGAGAAATTTTTGACAATTATAATACATGTATATGATTTTTTCTGCTAAAGAGCTGTAGGTACCTCAGTTATCATGAAATGGTCTGTGTTGTACGAAAGAAATCTACTGATAAATTGATCATATAGTGGAAAATCAAATTAAAGATATTGTTAAAAAATTTTGGACTGGTATGGAAACAAAATACGGTTTGATATTGGTAATAAATATTGTATAAAAGTACCCTTACTTATCTTGCAAGTTAAGTTTTCACATTATATATTATTAAGCTTTACCTAATATTGATAGTGCATAAAACTTTTGCGTATACTTGTTTTTTTTCCATTGTCAACAATTTTCAATCATACATGTAGCTTATGTACAGTGTATATTAAGTGGGGTTTTTTTTTTCAATTTAATAATGTAAAAGTGTTAAAAGCTTCTGTGATTTGGTTCAAATAATTTCCATTCTTTTGTCAGTACAATATATCCTAGTGAGCTTGAGATAAAAGATACCATAGAGTCTGACACATCTGTTTCATATTTGGATATTTTACTTAAAAAAGATATTAGTGGTAATCTAACAACCAAGCTCTGTGATAAATGTGATGACTTTAACTTTTCTACCATCAACTTCCCTTACTTATGCAGCAATATACCTTCATCACCTGCATATGGAGTTTATGCTCTACGTATGAACAATTTCTAAAGCAAGGTAAATGATTGACAAACAAGTTGATGAAACAAGAATATCAGTAGTCTCATTTAAAGTCATCATTTCGTAAGTTCTATGGTCGATACTAATTGTTAGTCCATTATTTATACACTGAATCAACGATGGATTTTTCCATTATTTCCCAATCATGACAAGGAGCACACAGCGAGTGTGACGAGTCAGCAGGGGAATGATCACTCCTCCATGGCACCTGATCCCACCTATGATGTTTTAGAGGTCCATGTTTGATTTGCTCTTATTTTGTATTGTTTTATGGACTTTTGATCTTGAATACTGATCGTTAAGTTTCATTCTGAAGAAAATATTATGTTGCTGTGTAAATAAAATACAAGGTTTATGTTATCCCTATTTAAATTAATACATGTTTTTATGTGTGATATTTGGGCTTGGGTCAAAAATGTGATAGAGGGCTCGGCAAGTCTTGCCCAAATATCGCTTGTATATTGCAAAACAGTAACCTTTTGGTTGATATTTATCTTAAATGATTTACATTGATTTAAAAAAAAAATTAACATGTAACAATTAAAGAACTTATGAATTTTTAAATGCATGTGACTACAGTAAAACTCGTTTATAACAAAGTCACTGGGACCTATGAAATTACTTCGTTATATCCGTAATTCGTTATAACCATATAAGAAATTCATTAAATTTATATAGCTGGGGATCCAAGATGACTTCACTATATCCGTAAATTCGCAATATCCGTGTTCGTACTAAACGAGTTTTGCTGTAACTAATATTCACATATTTCTAGAATAAATGTTGCACAGTTGCAAGACGTACATTCTTAAATGAATAACTTAATTATGTCTTGCAATTTTTTAATTTAATTTCCTTTTAATATTACTCATGTTTTAATATTCCTTTGATGTCATTATACCTTGATGATTTCAATCATATTTCGTTCAAATATCCTGTGTTGATACAACATGCCCAGAAAGTCCTCTGTTGGAATCAGGTCACTGGCCAGTTGTCTGAAGTGCCGCTGTAGCACATTTCTCTGAGCGTCATTCATGTTGCTTGTTGGCACTTTATGTCTTCATTTTTATATAAAGAATACAGTAGTCTGAATTTCCTGCTTCCATTGAAAACATGCAATTGCATTCAAAATGCAGTGGCTAAGATCAATCCATATTTGGAAATTCACTTTCGCTTCACATTGAAAGACATAAAGGTCACAATTAGAACTGAATTCCAAAATATCTGTCCAGATGCTTAGTTCAGCTATTACATTAACATCCAGGCAATGAAGTCCATATTCATTATTTTGTGCACTTGTATTGCAACAGTTAGAAAAACAATGCTATTTTTATGCACAATATTCTTTCGTCATATATAAGAATTAAGCAGTGGGCAATTGTTTTGTCCTGCTAATCCATAATCTAAGGTCGGATAGAAATAAGCTGGCATACGAACATAAAATAAGCTTTAGGTAGTTTAGTGTATGACTCAACTAGGCCCTCAATATACTTGGTCATTTACCAGCATTGTGGTAAAGCCAGGCAGTCAAAATAATGGTGAGCACCCACAGCTTAAAGGTGCAAGATTATACACAGACTTCTTATTGTTTAACTTTCTTCCAGTTCTAAAGCAATTTGATAATGATAGGGCAGATGATGTTTTAAGGGTGGAAGGGGGTGTATATAGATATGGGAATCTTTCCTACATTTTTTTTTGAAGCTGTAAAATAAAAGTTGATGAATTTCACTGATTATTTCAAATTTGTTTCTATGTAACTCTTTGAGAACCATGGCAATTGCAAACTAAAGACTATTAAATGCATTAATTATTGACCTTGAGGTATGACCCACAATCCAAAAAATATATAAACATGACCCAAGTTTTAATCAATAATGCTTTTAAATTAGCTTAATTCATAATCATTTATGATGTTTTGGATTTTATACTGTAAATCGTTTTAATTCCACAGTGTTAAAATTTCGCGATATCTCAAAAGATACCAATTGCGATGGTTTTAATTTCACGCTGCAAGAAATTAATTTAAAATTCGTAGAAGTATTTAAACGTTTTTAGCAACTAATAATAGCATTCACGATGGTTTTAATTTCGCGGAAAAATGATAAATCGCGAACATAGCGAAATTAAAACCATCATGATTATTTGCCAATCCACAGTATCTTATTTGCAGAGTCAGACCAAAGACTGATACTGTACATGTAAAAATCTTGGAGTTGATTTTATTTTTGAAAGTAAAGGCTGTTTTATCATATGACCCAAGGATGTATCATATAGTAGCCTTATTTTGATTTTTTCTCCAATTTTATTTGTCTAAAAAATTAAAAGCATATGTAGCACAGTTTTTATGAAATCTATTTTCAATTATATCTGTCAGTTGATTCTTTCTTTAAGTCAGAAATAGTTTTGATTTTATTTCCTTTGTATCAGCCTATTGAATGACTACTCCTACATTATGTTTATATACCTCGGCGCCAAGTCAAAAGTATCTCGCCGTGAACCTCTAGCATGCTGGAGTAATTGAATGACCACTGATTGTGTTTATAATTCTGGTCTGGCCCTTCAGAGATGGTAAAGCATATAGCAGATATAAAATAAAACAATTCTTTGTCAACAGAAGAAGATACTTTCAATTTCAATATACTGGTATTTAGAAAAGGGTTCATCGTTTATTTGGCAATAAAGGGGTGTTTCTTGGCAAAATCCTTCTTTCCTTGCCTACTTTATTCACTCAAACAATGTATTGATTATTCTCTTATTAAAACATTAAATCGTATTCCCGATCTCATTCGTTTTTCTCTATACATGATTACATCATCTAAACATCCGACATCTTTATTTATGTGTCATACTAAATCATGATCACTTAAATGTTCAATTTCATACCGATGAGTCCTAAAATTAAGTGCCGAATTGAATCAGAATTACCTAACTTCCCGCCAAGAAGCTAGAAAGCTAAAAATAAATATTGGGTTTTCCAGTGAAAGTTGTCGAAAATTTTTGGTAAATTCTGAAGAAAATTTTATTAGTCCATTCGGAAATTTATTTTAAAATCTGAGACTAACGGACTAACGTTAATGTCGAACCCTGTGTGCTGCAAGCTTACATGGAATTTTAAATCTGAATCTTAATTTATTAATCTGCATGGCTGTTGTGAAGATTTACTTTGATTACTTTCACACAAAAGGGATTTAATTAGCATGAAAATCTTAAGGACTGCAGTATTTTAAATTGGAAAAAGATGTAAAAGTCTTTAATCTTTTTTATTTCAAGTTGTTTTAATAATTTTGAACTTGGCAAGAAGGTGATATATTGACTGTACATTTATAAAGTAGGTAACTCACTAAGGTTTCAAGTGTAAGGGCCTATTTTTGAGTTTATAGTCACAAACCAAAGCTTCTATGCCTGTTTATTGTGTGGATAAATTTAACATCAAAAATTGCAACTCTGAAATATTTTATGTTTAGAAATAAATGTCTGTCAGACTCTCTGTTTTTTTTTTTTTCCAAAGAACAGTCCAATTTCAAAATGATGCACAAATTCAAAGCAACACTATTCAGCAATAGTTGTTTGATAATTTATTCATAATTAAAAAAAACAAAACAATGTAAGTGGGTACAATATAGTGCACAAAATTACTATATTGACTATAAATATGTCCAAAGCAGCCACTTTACTAATGCAGGTTTACATACAAGCATTAAATTATAAACTTCATCAGATGTGATACCCTGTTGAGCATCCAACAGTGTCAAGTCCCTTTTTACAACATGCCCACTTGTATATAACATTTGAAAGTTTCCCATTTTCATCGTATTGTTCTTTGATTTCTCTGCCCTTGTTGTGGAACCTACAGGCTTTGGGGCCATTGTCTGAGGGTTTGAACAGTTTCTGACACCTCAGACATTGTGTGACCCCTGTCCTAACGTTCCCCTTTCTGGTGGAGTAGACTTGAGATCGTAGCCGTAATTTCCACAGTGCCGATTCTTCACTCGGTATTGGGTAGGACTGTAGCTGATCGCCTTCTATATAAGTCCTTTCTTTCTTGAACCTGTCACTTGCTTTGAGACTCTGACGAGGACTGGCTTCCACCTGATTTAAATGAAACTGAGCCCCCTGGTGGTCTTCATTGTATTCTTTAACAATGTCCTGTAATTTGTACAACTGATTTTTCACTCCATTTAGTTCTTTCTGCAGCCATTTAATTTCAGTCTCTTTCTCAGTTAATTTGCTTTGCAATGACTCTTTTTCAAAGTGAATTTTGGCTATTGCATTTTTCATGAACTTTATATCCATTTCTGAGTATTTCTTCTTGGAAGGGAACTTGTCTGAAATGGGTCCATTATCTTTGCTCTGTTCCATATAACTAGAGATTTGTTTCAGATGTTCTATTTTGAATTTAAGGTTTTGTATGAGCTGCTCAGTGGTAAGGTTTTCTTCTAGAATGTCTTCACTTGGCTTGTCAGTGTTTGCAGGCTTACTATTGTCGTCAAACAGGCCACACAGATCCTGTAATGATGACTGCTCCGTCAATAGAATCTTGTGCTGCCTCTCGATTTCCTGCATGGCACTGTTCAGGCGGTCCTTCCAGTGGTTCCTCTCTGCTTGTATGGCCTTACCTTGAAAACAAAGAGAAAGGGTTCACTGGGTGTAATGAATCAGTGGTATAAGAATAGATACAGCACTGTTGGTTATCCAACAGGTTAGGCCTAAACCTACATGTCATAATTCTTAAATTAAGCAGCATTAAACGAGAAAGGAAATGAAGAAAGTAGATAATGACGCAATTCATGCGGAATCTCACAGTGAAAGTACAAAATCCTCCGATATAACATGTATAAGTATTTCCATTTGACCTATGATCATGTGTGCGTGAGACTGATTAATCTTGGGAAATTCTTGACATAAATCATTCCGCTAAGCTTCTGGCTTTGATTGCAGTGAACTTTCATCCTAATTTATCCTGTGATGAAGATTAATCCAAGTTTTCAATTAGCTAAGAACATCATCTTTGGAAACTTATTTAGACAAAATTTACTTTGAAAGCTATGAGATTTTATACAACCCAAATCTTAAAAAATGCATACTAGTGATTAGACTGTTCTTATTTCTGCCAAAACATAAAATCACCATTCATTATCTTCTCCTTCTTCATTTTGATTATAAATTGTCAAAAAGGACAAGGTATGGTAACCGCTGAATCTGGCCCCTTATTATTAGAATGGTGTTGCCATGGTTACTAGATATAGAAGTTTCTGTAAATTTCTTTTGAAGGGCTTCTCCTCCATAAGTTTTACTCTGATTGCAATCTTTCCACAAAAAAAGACTAAATCAAAGATCATTATTCTATTGATTGCTGTTGTAAAGTTTCATGTCTACTTGCTACTTTTCTCTTCCTTTGTTATAGGTACAAACCAATAGAGCAGTAAGTCTTGACAGACACTTCTGGTTGAATAGATATTTATATGTTTTATGCTTAGGAGAATTAAAATAAAATTTTGTTACCTTGCCTTAATTTGAGGAAATGGGGACATTTTCAAAATATGGACTTTTTTTGGCTATACATATATATACTAAAAACTACCTTTTAAATAATAATGGAATTGACAAAAAAAGTTAAAATTAAGTTTTGTATTTTACATATATTATGCACACAAGTGAGTTAAGGCTAAATATAAATATATCTATGCAAATGAGCTAATAAAAATTCATAAGTTGTATATTTTATGTACAGAGAATTTCTAATACATACTAAGTACCCACAGTTTATTAATGCAAGTGCACATTATGACGTCATATCATGACGTCATTGTTCTCTCCCATTCAAGGTAATAAATCACATCAACAAAATCACGTCGGCGCAAGGGCATATCCCATTGTTGAAATTAATAAAATTGCTGCACAAATCCTATGAACTTTCTTAATCGATAAAAATTTTAGGAAACTTACACTGGACTGTGAATTTTTACCCTCTTTAAACTTAAAACTGCACGAATAGTAACTAAACAATTGCAGTGCCGACATTTGTGCAGCAATATCTTAAATCCTTGGAATATCCCGCGTCTTTTTCTACCTTGTTTCTGTAAAACAAAGTAAGGTATGCCCTTGCGCCAAAGCGATTTTGTTGATGTTTCTTATAAACTTGTGTACTAGAGGTTGATGACGTCATAATATGACGTCATAATGTGTACTGGCTATCGCATGTCGTGGGTACCAAGAATGTATTATAAAACAAGTCTTAACATTTCCTGTGTGTTAGGTAGAGCAATTATGGAATTTAATTAGATATTTTGCATAGAAACCTCCATATGTAGCCATTAACTCACTTGCGCAATTCTAGTCCTCATTAAAAAAATTTTAAAAAATACTTGGGCTAGTAGCTTTTATTGCAGTGGGATGTCGATCAGTCCTCATATCAAACCACCAATAAAGGATTATTATTTTATCTTACTTGACATTCTAAAAGTCATCATAGATTTAAATAATATTAACAAATTAATAAATATGTGTAACAGGACCAAGGTCTTGCTTTGAGAGATAGAGAACTTCAAGACACCTTTTGAGAAATCAGAAGTAAATTTACTTAGTTATACAGAGGAAAAAACATGACTGGGGTTTTAACTTGAGAGATCAAGAACTTGGAGATATTGGAGTTTAAGTCATCGAAAATCACCTTTATCAGTTTATCTTACCCAAAATGTCCTGTATTGTCTCATATGGAATGGTCCCAGATTTTCCAAAGTTGAACAGCTTTTCGACTGTATTGAGAATGTCTTCATCCACAGACGTGATTTCGAACTCCATAGACAGCTGATCAGATGAGGCCGCGGAGGGGGGAAGGCGGCCATTACTGGGGGTTGCCATGGCTTCACGATACTCAACTACTTCTGATAATCCTTTCACTGCTTCATTTTGAAAGTCCCTGAAAAACATTTTAATTAGGAAAAAAATTATTATTTTCTCTAACTTAAATATAAGTATTTTTGGCCCCAAAATTATACTTTTTGTAATTAGAACAAAGAGTTCTTACAAAAACTTTTCATGGGAGAATCGTAGTTGCTAAATAATTTTTTTCAATCCAATATACACTTCAAAAGATGGCAAACCCATGTTTGGTATAAAGTTAGATTGCCAAAATCATGCCGGTATGTTACGCATGTTGCAGGATTTAATTTTAATGCTCTTTGCCAAGCATTGTCATAGCTGTCAATTTTTCATGCTGTTTAAAATTAAATTCCCATAAATATACATCAAAGGGGGACATAGTCACAAAATTGGCTGTGAGTGACACTTATCCTTTAAGGACCGGGTAGGAATAAAATTGATTTCAAAGACCTAATTATACACCTGTGTATAAATACTGTCCATGGATATGTATTGCCTATCACCATTCCATTTATCTGGCTGGAGAGTCAGTGGCTTGAGTATATATATGTAAACGGAGAGTCTGAATTATTTACTGGGTGTGTTATGAATCTGCATTGATTGATCGTAACGTTGATTAATTAGGCGTGCGTATGATATCGGTACATGATGTTTAGTCGTTCTCACGAAAGTATAGACCAAAAAAATCTTGTAGCTGATCAGTAGTGGTGTTTTATCTTTAAAGACCTATCTTGACAATAGTTTAGATGTAAAGAATATGATACTATGGATCTACAGAACAGCCTGTCCTGCAATGCTGAGACTTCTGACAATTTAAATTTCTCAACCTGTCAATTGGTTAAGATATATCTCTTCATCAAATATTTTGATTTTTGTCACAAAGATAAACTTATTTCATGGCACTAGATGCAGAGATTACATGTAAATATTTATTTTATAAGAATTCAGTTAAAAATACCTGGATTTCAGGTCCTTGTCGATATAATCCATAATGATCTCCATAATGGTTAGATGAATACCTAGTTTACTTAAGTTTCGTTAGTCCATGTGAGCTTAACCAGCTACATTTGTCTCAAATATTTGATTTCAATGGAAGACTCATTGTCAGATTTCAGACTTCAGTCCAGATACTACTAGTATTAATTAAAAGTGACCATTAATAATGCTAAAACCACCTTAACAGATATAAGAGTCCAAAAGTTAAGTACTGACCTTACACATTTTAACCAGTCTTGAGGTCATGATTATGCAATGGTAAACCCATATTTACTTTCAGTTAAATCCAGCAGATGATATGACTTGCTTTTTAACCATTAAATGTCCGAAAAAGGCCATTTAAATTACATCAGATTATTACAAGTCATTAGATAGATTTCAATCATCTGATACACAGGATAAGATATGATTGAGGAAAACGGAATATCTAATGAGGCACGAATGTTCTCAACTTACCCGAAAAATCACTTCCATGATATGAAATTTGGAGATAGTCGTTAGAGGTAGTGCACTGTACATTTGTATTATATGCAGGTATTGTTTTATATCTATGGAAGCTTGGGAGACATTTAAACAGGGATTAACAAAGCTTTTGTTAATTAAGGTAAAGATTTGCTGATCCGTTTATAAGCCAAGGAACAATGTCACTGTTAGGGTGAGAGACAGCTGAGCAGAATTATTTCTCTTTGTGTCAAGAAATTCTGTTAGGAAATAGTTGATCCGTACAAAAGGCCAGGAGTTTAAATATTGACTTCTGAGAAGTAAGACATTGAAAAAGAAAAGTTCTAATCAAGAGGACACCACAGTTAATGCTTAATCAACAGAATTAAAATAGATTCTGGTGATTGAAAGAAAAAAATCTTTGATTGCATTGGTCTTTTTGACTTTCATCTATTGATTAAAATCTTAATTACTATGTAAAAAAAATGGAGAGATAAATTATTTTCTGAGGTATTTTCATAAGGTATGAATTATTACAGTTGAACTTGAATATCATTATTTCAGTTACCATAGATATGTCAAATTGAGATGGAAGTCCCATATAAACCACATTTTCTTTATTTAATCTCAATCATATCCTTGGAAATTTCAAAGCTAGTTCTCACCAGTCCCATTAAGTTTAAGATGGAGATATGCCTACTTTGAATTTGATCTAAGGCTGCAATTATTCTTAAACCATTTATACATGTCAATAAAAGGTTCATTGTGACTTTTGAGTTGAAGACATGTCACAAGCTTTCATAGTTGAATTCTGAAAACTATACTAGTCTCTTTTCATTCTTTATTTCTCTGTATATGGCCATGTATAAAATTTCCATTTTCAATTTTCCTTATTTATATATAATATTTCATCTCGTTCACATAAGATATCTATATCTCCTAATTGATTGTATGTTGTTTAACACCCCTCTTGAGAATTTTTCACTCATATGGAGTTGCCACCACTTGCCGATGGAGAGCTGCAAATTTTGTCCTATACTTGGCACTCTGAAGGGCCATTTAGCAGGGAGGGATCTTTTTAATGCCAGCACCGAGCTACTGTGACAGGGGATCTCGGTTTATACGGTCTCATCCGAAGGACCGATCTCCACGTCCCACAGTGGGATTCGAACCCATGACATAAGGATCAACTCCTTACTTCGCGACTCTAGAGCAGACGCTCTAACCACTGCTTAACCACTGCGTCACGAGGGCGACGTCTCCTAACTGAAAGACCTATCAAGAGCAAGTTCCAAGTACAATATTTTTTTAAACTGAGACTACTGACAAATGAGTTGATGTTACAGGGCTTTGTACAATTTCATTGAAAGTCAGCATTTTGCCGAATTTATTTTCAGTGAATTGTCCTTGTTTACAAATACAACCACCTGGATTGTATATTGACTGATGTGTTTCATGCCAATTAATAAGCCATGCAAATTCTGATGACAAATTGCTCCATTTAAATGATCAGTACAGAGGATGACCTGTCATCAGGGGATAGTTATTTCTTTTCAGCCCCTAATCCTATCTCAGGTATTTGCAGAATCTATGTTTTTGTACCTGATTTGTATTGTTTACAGATTTTGCTCATTATCTTAACCTTTATGGAATTAGGTGTGGATCCTTACTGTTCTTCACTCCTTTTCCTTTGGAAATATTAGTGAATTCCTATAATCTGATTAGAAGGTTGAAGTCCAGAATTTTTCTGGGTTATTTATTATCAATAAAATTATAAGTCATGTATTTGGATTTCTAAGTACACCACAGCTAATATGTTTTATTGAAAAGTATTAGGGGGCGTTTGGCTGACAGGGTCAATTCAATAGCATATTTCTTTGAGGAGACCTTGAAAAATGTCAGTAAATATTTTTGCTACCACTACAGCAAAATTTGAGAAAATTTCTTGAAATGTGCTGAACTTTATATACATGTATAAAAAAAATTTACTTGATCAAAAATAAGATATTAGAAGTAGGTTAGTGAAAAATTTTGTTTGTATGATGTCAGAAACTTTGGATTTTGTATTACTTTCCAGAAAGAGGAAAACAACCATGGACAAAATTTGTTTATTTTTTATTCCAAATGTTAAGAGCACAGACCTTCAATATAATATTTATAAATTTCATTTTAAACATTTTATCAATTGAAAAACGAGTTTGAGCAGACTTGTGATCAGTGACTTTTACTCAAAATATTAACGTAATAAACACCTTTTTCTGTACAGACATAAGTTAAATTATTGAGAGTTTGAATTAACGACATTTTTCTGATGTCATATCTAACATAATTGGCGTCATGGTTGATGAAAATATTCAATGTCCCATATAGTTATACAATGCCCATACTATTAATTTATATATAATCTGATATTTTACTTGACAGGTTAAAAAAGAGAGTGGGCTTCATAATTACATATGTCGTATATACACATACTAATATAAAAGTACAGTAAAACTTGTTTACAGATAGATCAGTTAATTAACCAACATCTTCGCTAGTCAAGGTTTCTGATACGCTACTCTCCTCATGAACCTTTGGCATACGGTGAAGTCAAAAGACGGGATTGTATTCGTCACATGATTTCGAATCATCAGGTATGCACAGATTGCGTCATCGACAGAAATAAAGTGGAGTGTTTTTAAAAAAAAAATTAAATCAAAGTTTTTTTTCAAGAATAATTAAGAAGCAATAATTGAGTTATGTTTATTTATTATTTATAGTACAAATCTGAAGCTTCAACATAGATTCTTAATCACATATATAGAAGATATTGGATGACACCATAGCTTTTCATAGATATTGCCTGTTATCTTACGGATCATTGTTTACTTGTGTTTTTCATTTCCGAGATTAAAGAGTCAAGAAGTATGCCGAACGCAAATATCGTCATTTACAAAAACAATTGCTGATTGGTCGACCAGGTGTACCGAATCCCAATCAGAACTCGAGAAAAAAAACCAACTTCTATCAACACCGTATGCCAAGGGTTCATGAGGAGAGTAGCGTATCAGAAACCCTTGGCTAGCGAAGATGATTAACCGATAGAGCAAAGATATTCTTGAATCTCAGAAAATTTCTTAACACTTCCTTGTCAAAAAATTATGGTGATAGCAAACTCTGAAATAAAAATTAAAAACAGAAAATGTTGTGAGTTGTACGTCTGCAGTTCAATGACTTTAAGAGTCAATTTTTATTTTTGGTGAGTGAGATTGTTGCCAGAATCGGTTTCCATTGCATGCAGATACTCCAGGCTAAATGGCATCGATGACTAGATATATGTTTAGAGGTGAAAATTGAGTTTGTTTCTTACTTACTGGAATTACCACGATGCAGTTATAGTTTTAGAAAAATTGTACCTGGAGAACACAAAACTGTTCTGTACATGTGGATGTGTATGATGCTAAGTTACAAATTGTGTTAAGTGTCTTTATGTATGGTTCACTTTTGAAACTGATGTAGCCCTTGATTCTATATGATAGGAAATTTTTTCCACAATTTTTTGGCCACAAAAGAACTTCAATCTTGAAATCAGTAAAATATTTCTGGAGAATTACATTTATATTTATAAACTGATTGAGTCTAAGTTTTGATCAGGCCTCAATGGTGTGCTTCTATTAGAATTAAGGATGATACTCCTGTCAGCTTTAGTGACTATTTATACACATAAGACTACTTAAGGTTCTCATCTTTCTAAAATCATAATTTTCCAGAAAGTACAGAGCAACAGAAAAGATTGCCACCTAAATTAGATCCAGTGTGCTATAGATGTTCACTTGATTGGTGTTTGATGTAGTCGTTAACCTATAGATATGATTTTCCACCATATATAGAATGGGAAATGCTAAGGTACCACTCTATCTACTTGCTATTTATTCTGCTTTAAGTAATCTATTCCAGATATAAGTATATGGTTCGGTTAACTCTTACCCCTTGTAGCAGAGCTGATTAATTTCCCCGTGTTCCCGGTCCCGATTATCCATGATCAATCTATAATTAGAAAGATGATATAAATTACAGTCCTTTTTTCCTAGAGATCGTGAAGAACCATGCCCAGATTGGTTATATTTCAGGCCTCGGTAAGTGCACTGAGAAATGTCACTGCTTTAGACTTTGGTAAATAATAAGACCAGGCTATGAGAACCCAGCTATCAAGATTTCTGCCAGAATACAGCCCTTTTGTCATGTTATGTAAATGGATCAACAATGCACTGACTTTATTTACATAGACAATTTGATTAAAGCTTTCAGATAGCTTTGATTTTCAACTCAGGCTTTTAATTTTGTTTACATACCTACATTTTTGCATTGTTGATGGGTATTTAACATTTTTAAAAGGCAGCACTTGGTTTTGTATTCTGTATGTATGCCTGTATAGCTTGATCTTATTTTACCATTGGAAGAAACAGCTACTCTTCAATATTTGCTTGTTCAATACATTATTGACCAACAATAAAATAAAGTAAGAATAAGAAAAAGTACTCTCTAGTTCATTAAGGTCAGCAACGCAACTAACATTTATACTGTAAAAGAAAAGGGGAGATAAGGAATCAAACCCGGGACCCCTGCATCACTAGTCAGGTGCTCTACCGACTGAGCTACCCAGGCCAGTTGATACCCACGGTCCAGCTTTTAAGGTGTTTTAAAAGGAAAAATCCTTCAATGAAATGTGTTAGATTGACTTGATATTGCACTTTCAAAAATACTACAAACTTGTTTTTAATGCAGTATGAAAGGTGTCTCAATCATGCTTAAAATTAATCTTAAGATTTAATTTTTTAAAGTCTCAAATTTAAATATGCATTATGACCAATCAGTGTCTAATGTCGTAACATGTAATTTATTCTTTCAATCACCCCAGATATCATTTATTTTGAACAGTGACACAAACAAACAGATTCCTTTCTCTGATAAATCATGAATGTTCAATGTTTACTCATCAAACAAGATTGACAAATAATTAATAATGAAAATGAGGTTGATAGAGGAGACAAACTGCAGATAAAGTGACACTCAGTAGAGAACCAAGATCACATCAATCAATAGAAATTATAATGCATCTCACATGTTCATACTACATCTAAATTACAATTGGTGAAGTGAGCACTATATTTAACCCAAATACTAAAAGGGTCATCTTTGGTCTCTTGCAGCAATTTATTAATCTTAATAGCCTTTTGACCTTGAGAGAATGATATTTTAATGAGCACACTGTCTCGCAAAATTATTGTAAATAAGTGTATGCTGAATACACAAATATGCTTAAGACAGATCCGCGGATATCAGTGAGAAAAAGCCCCCTTCCAAGGTGAGATAATCAAGAAAAACATTTTTAAAATATCTTCACAAGAACCACTGGGCCAGAAAAGATTAAACTACAATAGGAGCTTCCTAATTAGGATAGATTCTTAGTTGTTCAAATCATGGGCTGCAGGAGTAATGTAGAGCCACAAAAAGGAATTAAAGTTTTGTATTGAAATATGTTGGAAAATTATCTTCACAAATCTTCTCTAAAAACCACTAAGCTAGAAAAGGGTAAACAATTTAGCTCACGTCAATGATGTTGGGGGAGCTTTTGTGATACCCATGGCATCATCATCAAAGGTTAAAATTTTTGGAATAGTTTTCTTTTTAACTCACCTTGACAAAGTTGAGATGAGCTTATGCTATACCCCCAGCATTGGTCTCTGCTTTAGCATCGGCGTACCAGGTTAAAGTTTTAGTAACTATAAGCCCTACCTGAACAAAACTTGCATGGATTATGCATCTAGGGATGGACACTACCAGACTTGCTTCGGATGCTGGATCTGACCTACATTTTCCAGTTGAGTGACCAGGACCAAGTTTTTTGAGCAGGTCCATTTTCAAGTAGCCATAAGCCCTACCCAGACCAAACTTGCATGGATGATTATCTAGGGATGGATACTATGAGACTTACTTTGGATGTTGGATCTGACCTACTTTTTCCAGTGGAGTGACCAGGTTAAAGCTATTTTTTGAGCAGGTCCATTTTCAAGTAACCATAAGCCCTACCTAGATAAAACTTGCATGGATGAAGCATCTAGGGATGGACACTACCAAACTCACTTCGGATGCTGGATCTGACCTACATTTTCCAGTGGAGTGACTAGGTTAAAGTTTTTGGAGCAGGTCTATTCCCAAGTAACTATAAGCCCTACCCGTACAAAACTTGCATGGATGATGCATCTGGGGATGGATAATACTAGACTCGCTTCAGAGTTCAGATGCTGGAATTGGCTTACATTTTTAGATGAGTAATCAGTGTAATGTTTTTGGAGGAGCTCTTTAATTTTATTGCCTGTTATGATTTAACTTGCATGGATGATGCATCTTAAAGGATGGAAAATCGAGACTTGCATAGGATGCTTGATCTGATCTGCAATTGGCAACTAGTTTGAAGTTTTTGGATAAGTCTATTCCCAAGTAACTGCAAGCCCTATCAGATCAAAATTGCATAAATTTTGCATTTTGGTATGGAATGTTACTTAATGGTGGGACTTTGCCTTACTTAAAGAGGTGAGCTCTTTAATCTCTGATTACCTATGTTTAAAATAAAAACATGTATGTGGCTATATAGGGTAAATTCTAAATTGTTCAAATCATGGCCCCTGGGGAAGGATGGGGTGGGGTCACAATAGGAAATCGAATGCAATGAAATATATATAGAGAAAAAATCTTCAGAAATCTTCTTCTCAAGAACTGGACCAAAAAAGATGAAACGGTTAATGAGCTCTAAGATCAATATAGTCCTCATCAGCAAATGAATTTAGAAAGCTTAAAATAAGGCAATACTTTAAATGTTTTTTATATTTATCAGGAAGTGTTCAGGCCCTTTGGACTGTTGTTTTTAAGGATGTTCCTGGGGATTTTCTTCATTTGGCTTTATGTGAAAAACACATGATGCTTTGACATTACCAATTTAATTTAGATTGCAGCACTTGACAGAATTAAGAGGTCATTCAGCTCAAAAGTTATCAGCCTCAGGGATGAGAAATTCATGTTGCAGAAATGTTTCATGTTTCAAAAATGCAATCAATGGAATAGATTCATTTCTCGATATGGTTGATGAAAGTGAGTGATAATGCTTTAACCCTTTGTATGCTGACTTGTTTTATGTGCGCTGAAACCTCAGGACTGAGTTGTTTTGTAATATCAACAAAATTATCACATTGGTGTACTAAAATGCAAATATCTCAAATTGTTGACAACCAATTTGCTTGAAATTTGGCAAATATATAGCAAATGTTGCGTTTTTTAATCTTTACTGTTTTTTTTAAAAAATCTAATATTTTATGTTGCCATGGAAACCAAATTTTCAAAAAATTTATCTTAAAATGACTTTTTAGCATTTTAACTATATTTTTCAGAGAAAATATTGCACTTTGATGAAAAAAATATATCAATTGCTTTAAAAATTCAATTTTAGTTTAATATTATGTAAAAAAAAATTAATTTAAACAATAACTCTATGACAAAGTCTATGTTATATATAACCGTTATGTTGTGAAAAGTCATTGTATACTTATCTGAGTAAGCATGGTAAGGGATATATTCATGTAGGTTTAAGTAAATTCTGATTTAAGTTAATGAATTTTTTTTCAGATTTTAATTAAAAAGAGTATAAATTGAAGATTCAATTAGCCTGTAAATATAAAACCAGTGATTATTTTAAGAAATACTGGCAATCATATAAGAAAGTATGATCCTCAAAGAATATGCAGTTTTCAAGGTTGGGAAATCTTGGAGCAAATTGGCAGAACAATGAACTAATTGCTGTTACTAGTATTCATTTTCAAATTAAAGCAGTCAATATGTTACATAAATTTGAAAAAAAAATAAAATAACATTTACACTAAGTTACAGAGGTCTTATTTTCTAATGACTGGTATCTAACAGCCCTAAATATACTCTAGTAATTCTCAAATCTTTTTTTTATTTTGCTTTTATTGAAGAAAATGCATTTCTCCATGTTATTTGTGAAGTTTACATATTCATCAACTTTCCTCCCACAGTACTTCTCACTCTGTAAGAAATGTGGTATTTGTTCTAGAAGTTTTATTCCTGGCTGGCAACAATAATTGCCAGCAGGAAAACTAGTATTTTAAATTTTAGAAATTTAAGCACCTTTAACAGTCATTTAAATGTTTTCAAAAATGACTTCGTTCAATATTAATGTGGTCACTTGTGAATAACAGTTTTGATTTTTATTCAATTGATTTTAGTTAATGATGGTTGACAGATATGTACCATAATATCAATCAATATATTATGATATACTTTTAAGTTTATGCAAGTCTAATGGTATGGGTCATGGATATAGGCCAAGTAAGCTCAGTCAGTAGAGCATCTGATTGGTGATGCAGGGGCCCCTTCTTAGATTCACGGTCCAGCCATGTATTTTCTCCTTCCTTGTTACATATTTGATGCTATTGACCCCTCTGGATTTTCAAGTGAAAGTCCTGTCAGGGGCTAATAAGAATTTGGGTTGTGTCTGCAAGGATAAAGATAACTTTAAGGAGGGATATGTAATGGTTTTGCTATGGGTATCAACCTGGGTAGCTCATTAGGTAGAGCACCTAACTAGTGCAGCAGAGTTCCTGAGTTCAATTCCTGGTCCAACCATAGTTACCAATGTACATTTTCTCCTTTCCTATTACACAAGTTTTAAATGTGCCTGAATTTTTACTTCAACATAAAATATTATTCCTAATACTGTATACAGGGAAATTTTAGCCCCCGTTTTATTTTTGCCCCTTTCACCCTCTCCTTGATTGGGCGAATTCAAATTACACCTCATAATTTATTAAACAGATCTATGACTGGGGGAATTTAAAACAGGGCAAAATTGTTCACAAGTTCAAAAGGGTGAAAATAACATGGGGCAAAAATAAACCTGTATACAGTAATGAAATTTATATTTTATTTCCACTATGGGATTTCTTTGTATTCTTAGTAACTATTCATATTTCATATTTAAAAATAAACATATATTTGGAGACCAAAATGTAATCTTTGTTGATAAGTAATTGTACAGATATTTGCATTTTTTGAAAAAAAAAATTGACCATCATTAAAAAAAAAATTCTCACAGTAAATCTAAGCCTTTTTTCTGTATTCATTCAGGCATATATTTATTTAGCTGGGTATCCAAATTGACTTCGCTATCTCCGTAAATTTGCAATATTCGTGTTCGTACTAAAGGAGTTTTGCTGTATTACCCAGTCTTTATTGTTATTTATTGAACAGATGTACATGCAAGTCCATACAACATGTACAGTTTACAAATTACTCATTCTAAAGACTCTGAACTCTTTCTTATGCCTACAAAAATGACAATTCATCTTAATTTTAAACTGTAGAAATACCATTTATTTAACCAGTGAATTTTATAATTTTGTGTGTGCATGTATAGGTTGGGACAGTCTCACTGTTTTTGGTTTTCAATAAAATAAAAATAAAAAGTGGAGGAAATGTGCAATTTAATCCACATGCTTTATTCTGGCAAAAGTCTATTTTAAAGAAAAAGAAAATGTCTCCCTGATACATGTTCTTAAACTTGGTTTTAAAAAAAATTCTGATACATATAGTACCAATTATTTTCACTTACTAATTAGGTCCCATGCAAACTAGAGTATGTAAATGCCTTGAAGAAATCTAACTCTAAGATACCAAAGATCCCGGAACATATTTTGGTTTTGAAATTATTAAGAGTCTATATAATCCTCATCAAGGAAATAAAAATGGTATTTTATTACTTACTGAAATAAAACAAATACCACAGTTTACACAAATGACAGTCATTTCAGGGAAAATCAGCACTTCAAAATTTTTTCATCACTTTTACTATTTTCATGTATATGCACATGTTCAAATGCATCAATGCATCTTTTCTGATAACTAGCTTACATTTGAAGACACTATATAGAACAAATCAAGTTTATGCTAAAAATTTTACAATATATCATATACTGTTATAAAAAATATTTGAAAGTTTTCCCAAATAGATGGAACATCAAGCAGCTTTAAACCAGAATTTTTAGGTGTAATTAGGGACACTTAATTGACTCAATGATTGTCAATTATAAAATTCATATTGTGTATATTTCGAATACCTGTATCATGAATTAATTTTGCTTGATCACAAAAATGTGTTGATGGATATATATATTCTCTATATATCTCTTTTGCACTCACTTATTAATGCAATAACTCATTGGAAAATTTCCTACAATATTCAAGGTCCTCCACATTTATTACTTTTATTAGGTGGAACCTTTTTTATCTTTCAACATTTTTGAAATTGGTCTTTAATTAGATTTAAAAAAAATTGTTTACTTATTTATTTGTTTATTTATTGTTAAAAAACAAATGCTTTTAATTAACAAGATGCTTCAAATTGTTTTTTGCAAACCTTTATTTCAAAGCAAAGCTTGATTTACGTATGTAAACAACGTGCACAGCCACCGAGGAAAAGAAAAACGTCTGTGACTTGCCAGGTTCAATCTCGCGCATTATTGTTTTCATTTAGACGATGTAATGTATGTCTACTTATAAAACACCAAATAAACAAATAATAACCACCGTATGTCCAAAATATAAAACTTTGCCGACCATATAAGCTCTTGATATGCTTCAGACTGAAGTTCAGTAGCATGTGCATCCTACTTTCGTTTTAACAGGAAGAACTTCGCAAGGTTAAGGTCAAGTCAAGTTAACCAGAGTTTTTCTGCTTAAATATCGAAAATTTCTTGGTATTTTTATGTCTACTAACACAAATTTATTAGAATTATTGATATTTAACTATTTTTTGGATTTATTTCTTTATTTTCCTTTATATTAGAGCAAGTTAGTAGATATTTATTACATGCGCGTTTTTTCCCTGTTTCCAAAAATAGCGGACTGACTTTCATCCTAACAAACGCCAAACACCTTCACTTTAAATCACAATTTCACAAATAATTCGCATATTTTAACATCTTAATTATCTATTTTTCAATATGTTGTAGTTGTATAATACATTTTGATAGATCTGAATAATTCACAGCTCATTTATACGTTTCATACGACGTTTTATGTGACGAAGCGCTAATTCCAGTCTCAGACCCAACATATTGGGTTCCCGCACGCAAGCGTTTGTGACGTCAGACCCAATATATTGGGCTCCCGCACACAAAGGGTTAATTGTGAAGTGTGCCAGTGGTATGTTTTAATGCAGAGCTGTATAAGGCTGGGATCTCTATTTCAACTGTAATTAAATAAAACATAAATCATTTATTTTTATGCCTCAGCTGTCTGTCTTCCGTCCTTCCATCTGTCCTTCCCTCGCGCTTTGCATTTAGCTCAGTTCAAAGCTCAGTTTCAAAGAAGCTATTCAAGATATTTTTATTAAACTTCATGTGCTGATAGATATTGATTTGTAAGCTATTCAACTGCATCAACATTTTTGACCTTGACATTTTCATTGGCCTTGACTTCATCTTTTTTAATTAGAGTTTACAGCTTTATTTTAAAGAAACCAATGGATTCATTGACAAGTTACTTTAATAAAACTTCATATGCTGATACATACTGATGTTTGCTTTTCAACTGCGTCAGATTTTTTGACCTTGACCTTTCCTTTGACCTTGACCTCTCTTTTCCTGTTTAAATGTTTAGCTCAGTTTTAAATAAACTATTCAAAATATTTTTATCAAATACAATATGCTGATAGGTAGTAGTGAGAGCTATTCAACTGCATCAAAACCTTTTCACCTTGCACTTTCCTGTGACCTTGACTTTCCTTCTCTTTAATTTGTATTGTGCTTAGTTTTAAAGAAACCAGTTTAAGATATTTTTATGTACCTGGTAAACATGTACTTATGCAAAACTAAAGTGGTGAGAATTTATGATCTATATCCAATTTTTTAGATTTCAATTTTAAAGAAACTGTTCAAGATATTTGCACCAGATTTCATACACTAATACAAATTTTCAAGTTGCAGTAGTAAATTATTATCTAAATTAAGAAATATTAAATATAGACAATGGGGCATTCATGTCCCATGGACATATTTCTAGTTGCAATGATATTGGTTTCAATCTTAAACAAAGAGGAAGTGTTAAAATACTTCACAATATCTTTGTCAGGTACAGAATTCAGTTGATGGGAAAAATTGAACATTTCAGGAGCTGACAATATCATACATGTTATTGTATTTAACTGAAGAGGAGGATTGCACTTAATTTTCAGATCACTAATTAATTTATGTATGTTTAGTACAGTATTTGACTTGTTGACTTTAACGAGGTACCAAAGTTAAACAGTGTTGAAGACAATATAGCCACATACCAAAAGGATACATGTGAATAAAGAGGTCATACAGATTGTAAATTACCATAATGGAAATTTGTATATTTTAATAATGTCTTTATATCTCCTTGAGAATTTTAGGACAGTTAAAGCAGATCTAATGATTACTGTGTGACCAAGTGTTAGTTTGTTTAAATTAGGCTAGGGATGCAGTAGGGTGCAATGGTGGACCCTTACCCCACCTGGTCAGTGGTCACAAAAGTTAGGTTGAAAACATTGATATGAAACCAGGCCTCAACATAACCCTTGATGCTTACAATATATTAATATCCAACAACTTCGTGAGATGTAATGATACATGAAGCACAAATGTGTTTTTTATCAAAGGACAATTAATTTTTTTTATAATTATGTGTCAATAATATATTCTTAAGATCCCTGACTGTTCCAACATGAACAAGAAATGCAAACAGTAATTAAAAATTGGAATAATGTTCTTGTCTCATACTACACATTGCTTAATTTAATGATTATTTTTAATTGGGCTAAAAATGAACAAATTGCTTTTTTTACTGCATATATAGTATATTTTACTATGCTTAAATTTAAACTGTGTTATTGATATATGATATTAAAATATTTTTTTAACAAATTTCCCTAAAAATTAAAGTAGATACTTTTGTAAGTAATTTAACAACTTACCTAGTATGATGTATTGGAAGTTTGTTCCCTTTGATTAGAATGCTGTTCATTTTTATATCCCTGGTCAGGCCATGTAGAATGCAGCTCTGGTTTTCAGTACATGAATTTATATATTGAATGCAATCAATACGAAATTAGGTGATCATGTTTTCATCAAGTATTGTTTGCGAACATAGCAGTATGTCCTGAAGAAATCTGGTTATTTGACTCTGTTGCTCATGGGGAGATCTGCGGATAATTATTTGAAATGTCACAGGTACTGCCATAATGATTTTTTTTTCTCTGAGCATCATCAATTTATTGGAGCAGCTGAATCATTTTTGAAGCTATAAAAAAAGAGTGTATTAAACTTACTATGTTATTGTCTCAAATAGATCAAACATTGTCTTTGAAATTGAATTATTGACATGCTGACATTAAACCAGGAACTTAAAACAAATCAGAACTGTGTTTACTCTCTTAATGAATCCTAGCTCTCTGACTGGCTGATATCCAATATTATAGAAATATGAGCAGGATGTTTACTCGTACAGCCTTAACTACTTTGATCTTCCAAAATAACCTTGAGTCGAGGTTATATCTCCTCCTCTAGTCATTTACTATTCTCAGATGTCAGATAGAAAGTATTCAGCAATGTTGTTTCTAACTTGAAAGTTGTGATCAAGATTAAAGTTGTAGGCAGATTAAAGAAATTAAAACTTTGCTGTAAGCCCAAATCAACTACCATCAGTACTTTCAGTACTTCAATTGGGTCAAGTGGTTAAATATCTAGGTCAGAGTCAGTAAATAACACTGAAAATGTATTCACTTCAAACTGTAAGTTATAATTTAAGGTCTGTTGAGCCTAAGTCAGATAACATATTAATATTTTGCTAACCTCAAGGAAGTTTTGGAAGCTTAGTATGTAATGCTCTAAGCATCAACATTGGTTTCCCAGGTTAAAGTCTTGTAGCAGATTTATTTTAAGGTTCATAAACCCTCTGCTAACTCATATAAAATGTTGCTTGAACCTTAATGATATTCCAAAAGAACAGCATTTTATAAGTAAAATACAAACAATTATAGCATAGCTTGTGAAGCAAAATTGGACAAAAAAGATACTTCAACCCGACAAATTTATCAAGGAATAATAGACAATTATGTCATTAAGAGTTATCTCTCTTATCAGAGTATCAATGAACCTGAAGTACTTTTATGCCCTACATTAATCAGGGATGCAAAAACAATGCTTCTAGTATGATTTATTTGAACCAGTCAAAGTTTCAGATGCTGCAATTTCAGCTTAGGATGACCAGGTTAATGTTTTTGGAACAGGTCTCATTTCCAAGTAAACTGTGAGCCCTATACATGAAATAATCAAATTAGCATGTATGATGATTTTAAGGATGCATTTAACTACCAGGCTTTGCTTCTGATGCAGGATCTGACCTACATTTTATGGATGAGTGAACAGCTTTAAGTTTTTGGAGCAGGTCCATTTTAAAGTAACTAGTAGCCTATGTTCACTTAACATTTATGGATGATACATATGGATGCACGTACACTACTGACTTGCTTCAGATGCTGGATCTAACTCAGATGAGTGACCAGGTTAAAGCAAATAAAACACATACCTGAACTAAACTTGCAGGGATGATGCATCAAGGGATATACACAACCAGAATTGATTCTAAATCAGATGCTGGATTGGACCTACATTTTACAGATGAAAGACCAGTATAATTTTTTTTTAACAGACTCGTTCCAGTGTTCACTTCAAGTCATACCTACATAGACTTGCATGGATAATTCATCAAGGGCTGAACACTGTCAATTTGGCAAACCTGCTTCAGATCCGGGATTTAATTTGACATTTTCTGGATGAGTGACTAGCTGTATTTTTGTTTGGAAGTTTCAGCTTTTCTGGAACTGCTGAACCAATTTCAACTAATTTTGCTCATATATTATCTGTAGGCAAAGGAAGCAAAATGTGAGTTTCATTTTATCTCTATCAGGCAAGTTAAGGACTTGGGTCAAATCCATAAAAATTTATGCAAACTCAAAAAGTACCCAAGGATCACGGACTTTGATTGATTGATTGTATGATGTTGAACATCCTCTCGAGAATTTTTCACTCATATGGAGACGCCACCACTTGCTGGTGGAGAGCTGAATTTTTGTCCTTTACTCAGCACTCAGGGCCACTAAGCAGTGAGGGATCTATTTTGTGCCAGCACCTGTCTGCTACATGGGACCTCAGTTTATATGGTCTCATCCAAAGGACCTGTCTCCACATCCCACAGTGGAATTCGAACCTGCGACATAAGGATCGACTCCTTTCTTCGTTATTCTGGAACAGATGTTCTAACCACTGCGCCGCGCGGGAGACTTAAGGAACTTAGATGTTTAAGGAGTATATGGTTAATGTGTTAGGTAAATTGAACTTTTTACATATAACTGTGCCTAGCTTGTATCAGGCATTTTTTACAATTAGGGAATATATCTAAAAACTGCATCAAAAGGTATTTTTCTCGTTTTATTGATTGCTGTATGGACAAAGAAACAAATAAATGGGGAAGTTTCAAAGTGACGAAGATTAATCAGCTTGGGTTACAATTACTCTTACAAAGCTTGTCTGAATACACGAGAGATCTTGATTTAGAACAATAGGTAAATGACCTCAAAGAAGCACAATAAATTCAACCTGTGTGTGATGACAAACCATTGGAGGTGAATACAATCTTCTAACGAAAGCATTCAATTAATTCAGTACACTGTGAGTATTATAACTTTGTAACAAACAGCAAGATATGCATGTTGTCAAAATTTTATTAAATCCACAGACATGTCTAGTTTTTTAAACAGACTGGTATACAAATTAAAGACTTCAGATTGGTTCAGAATATTGCAAAAGACAGTGATGAAGATTCATATAAACAAACAAAAATTCATTTTAGCTCAAAATACAAAAAAAAAAATGATTGTAACAATAATTCAGTAGTCATTGATCATGGAATACTTATTAGTTCTGTTTTATAACTGTGATGATACTTCAGTTGAATTATTTTTTTTTTGTCTGAAGACTCCAGAGATCCGACATTACATCCCCCTCACTGTTTGTTCATTTTATCTGCAAAGAGAGACAACTTATATTAGAGTTGATCATTTCATAGACTTTCACCTTAGATTTAAATAACTGATAGATTCAAAATATCCAAACATATGCACAGATATCACAGAAAGACTATCATAAATTAGGATAATTTTTTCCTGAATAATGAAAAATTACTTCTTTTTTTTAATTCTATAAATGGCTAGTTAGTACATGTATCAGTACAGTATTTGCTTCATACAGTGATCATGTCTAACTGTTAAAATCTTCAAGATATTCTTGTAAAATACATTTACTAGTTCAGTAAATAATTTCATTGAATTCAGATTTTAAAAAAGGGTGTGTTTTGATGATGCCCCTATGCTGAAGCCTTCAACTGGACATTCAGATATATCGATGGCATATCACTTTCAATCAATAATGGTACTTCCATTCTTATGTTGATACAATATATCCTGGTGAACTTAAAATAAAAGATACCACAGAGTCTAATACATCCTTTCATTTGTGGATATTTTACTAGAAAAAGAAATTAATTGTAATCTAACAACAAGCTTCATGATAAACATGATGACTTTAACTTTTCAGTTGTCAACTTCTCTTATACCTATACAGGGTTTATATCTCTCAAATGATTCAATAACCCAGAGCATGCTCTACATATAAACAATTTGTTAAACAAGATAAGTTATTGCCAAACAAGTTGATGAAACAAGAATAACAGCATCATCATTTTATAAGCTCTATGATCAATACAATAACCATGTCAACAAATACAATTTATCATTTACTCAAATGCTGATTGACGTATTTCATACTAATTGTTAAACCATCATTTACACACTGAATTGTTGACAAATTTTCTCAGTTATTTTCCAGTCATGATAAGGAGCACAAAACAATGTGACTGGTCAGCAGGGAATGCTCACTCTTCCATGGCACCTGATTCCACCTCTGATGTTTTAGAGGTTTTTGTTTGTACTGCTCCAAAATTTGTATTGCTTGGAATACATATAACTCAAGAGTTCTCCATCAAAGCTTAATTTTTAATGGGCAGAGATTGTCAATTGCAGAAGCAAGTCCTTTGACCAAATTGAAGAAACAATTTGAAGCTTCTTCTTCAGTATAAATCTGAGATATTCCTGTTTATGTACTAATGTAATCTAGAATTTGAAGAAGCCAGCTTCTGTCTTAGAAGTTGATCCATAAATGTGACATTTAGGGATCTTACACCTGATTTGTTTGAACTCATAAAAATGTGCACTGCAAAATTTCGTATTTAATTATCTATTTATAGTAAGAACTAATTGGCCTATATACCTTAGCTGACCTATACAGATGTATACAAAACCAGAAGTTGATAGGATTCATTTTAGAATTACAGAATAAATGTTGCAATATTATCTGAGGTGTAAGAGCATGGTTATTAATTTATTACTATGATATTGACAGTAGTGAAGGAAAAACTTCATGAGTACTGTGCAACAATATATTCAAGAAGTGGAGTGAATCAGATGTGGATATTCAAAAATTCCAAAGAACTTTTGGACAATTTGAAATCACAAGATTTTACCAAAATCAACAGCTTAAAAACTTATGACTTTTTAACTTTATACACAACCATTTCCCACAATTAATTCACAATAAATTAAAGTCCAGGCTTTTTGATATCATTGACAGCTGCTTTTTCAATAAAAATGGAACTTGTAAATTTACTTACCTGGTCATTGGTCATTTGAAAAATTATTTTGTTAAAACACATTCTGATTGCACACACAAGTACTCTAATGTTGACGTCAAAAAGATGCTTGAGTTTCTGATTGACAGTATCTTTGTTGTTTTTGGAGACCAGGTCTTCCAACAATCTGTTGGAATTCCCATGGGTACCAATTGTGCTCTTTATTAGCAGACCTATTTTTGTATTCATATGAAGCAGAATTTGTGCAAAATCTTATGCATGAAAAGAAGAAAACACTTGCTTTGGCCTTCAGCTTGGCAGTTAGATATATCCACAACCTATTGTCAATTAACAATGGTAGTTTCCATTCCTATGTAGATATGATATATCCTGGTGAGCTTTAGCTGCAGAACTGTAACATTATGGTTTAATATATTAGTCTTTGACCATAATGCTACAGATCCTGTAATGCAAAAAATGTGCAATTTATGGCGCAAAATTTTTTGCGCATTGTTTGGGAGAATTTCTCCACTTTCCAACTTTGGTAAATCATCTACTTTTCACCACCTAATTCCAGACACATTCTTAAACCAATTTGTAGATTTCATCCTCCTTTCAACCCTTTATACCGCCTCTACATGCAATAAACTGGCTTGATTTGAATGCTCTGAGGGATTGCAGAAAATTCTAATTCAATCGAGTTTATCACTTGTAGAGATGACTATAAAGGATTGGGAGGTGTATAGAATATACTTATATATTTAAAAATGTGTCTAGAATTATGGAGGGAAAGATAGATGATTTACCAATGTTGGAAATTGGAGAAATCCTCACAAACAGTGTGCAAAAAATCTTGCGCCGTAAATTGCACATTCTTTTCATTTCAGGATCTGTAGTGTTACAGTCAAAAACAAATATATAAAACCATGTCAAATATGAAAGCACTATCTCTTCTCAGAAGTTATAAGGAAAAATCAACATTTTTGAAAAGTTGCTCAAATGTCAAGGTCAGGGGTCAAAATTCAAAGTGTATTTAGAAAGGATTTGTCACAGGCAATGTACATTTGTAATAAGAAAGCCTTATCTCTTCTTATCCAAAAGTAATGACCAAGGTCAAAGTTTTTGAAATGTAGGTCAAACTTCAAGGTCAAGGAAAGTGGGTCAAACATCAAGGTTGTGGAGTCAAAAAATCATAGTGTACTGATAGACAAGTGAGATTTAATGTTACCTCGCTTTTGCGAAAGCCGGAGACATTACTACCGGTATTTAAATTTAAGCAATTTTTTGTAGGAATACAAGGATTTTTAGTTAGCCTTCAATCAAAAAAATAAATTTTGTTTCTATACAAGAGCAATAAATCTGTTTGCTCTTTGCAATAAGTCTCTTTGCTTTAGCCCTGGCTATTAAGTATGAAGAAATTAAGTATTGTTAAATCAGCTAACAAATTGAAATTTTTATTCAAAGAGAAGCTATTAAATATTGATACTTTATCAGAATTTTGGTTTGGAATTTATGTTTGGAATTTAGGTTTGTGATGAACAGTTAGACTTTCAGTAAGGAATTTGCAGTCATTCTGAAATGACGAGTACATACAATGATTTTTCTCTATACTGATTGGCCTAATCCTCTTTTGATACATCTGGGTAATTCTGGACAGTTGTAAATTTAATACTTGTTTCTGTTTAAAGATTCTGAATGTCATATTTCAAACTTCTACATATGCTTTATACAATGTTCTAGGATACTAGCTGGGAGTGTTGATCATGACTAGATTATCTTGAGAATGGATTATCTTAAATACCAAGGATATGTCAAAGGAAGGTGGAAGCCACGACTTTTCATTCTTGATGTATTTTAAGGACAAATGATATGTTTCTCAATAATATATATTATTATAAAGCTAATAAATAGTCTGTAATAAAATACTACCAAAAATCTAGAGAATTTTAGCGTTCAATATTGAGACGTTTTATTAAACGCTGAGTTTGTATTACATATACGAGTATGCCTGAAACATTCTGAATACGAGCGTTCAATATTGAATGCCCCGTTGTAAACAAAAAAAAGCTGTCTGGTCAAATTCTCAAAGCTAAATTAAAGAAAGCCTTAAGGAAGTGGCATTTAGGTAAGATGAGTTTATTTTTACACAAAAATGAAATTATTTATTAAAAATTTAGTACATATTAGACCCATTCATTGAAACCTAAATAAGCAAATCATAATGCTCGGTAGGGTCATCGGAATGATGCAATATTGAACACTTGTAACACTCAGGACAGGCGTTAATTTGAATACCGATACTAAAGAATCATTGATTTGAGTTTTTTAGTTGGAATAATTATAAATTATGACGAAATGATTTAGCTATATAATAAATGAGCTATTGAACTTATATTGGTGAATATTGGCACTCATTGGCTGTACAAATGCACTCGCAAGCTCGTGCATTTGTACAGCCAATGAGTGCCAATATTCACCAATATAAAGTTCAATAACCCTATATTATACTGGAATACTGTTAGAATACACTGTTTTATAAAACAAATATTTCTCACAACCGATATGACGAGAGTTTCTAGTATATAGACTGAATTTTTTGGTGTGATTGGGGCTTCATATCTGACTTTTTAATTCCTATTTTTATTAATTTAATAAAACAATGGGGGTTTGTGATAAATATGTTTTTAATTAAAAAATACCAATTCACCTTTCCAGAATGTACAATAAGCTCTATACTGATGATATAATACTGATAATTATAATTTACTCATGGAGTACATAAAAATGAGTGATGAATATACTCGGAGGAGTTATAAAGCAGGTAGTGTTGAACAAATTTTGAAAAAATGATTTTGTGTCTGAACTATCTATAAATGACATCTTTTTTTTCAAAAATCAAATTTGGACCAATGATACGTTAGGTTATTTATATATGCTGGCCATAGATGCAGCCTTGACTGTCTATGCCCTGTTGACAACACTGCCAGACATAAGTGACCCTCTGGAGTTTCCCCTTGCTATTGTACTCCTCAACTCGTTCTTTTGTTCTAGGATGGTAGCAGCAAGCTTTCTTATGATTGTCGTTTAGCGTAAATAATTTCTGGCATCTAAGACACTTAGAAACTTTCCCACCTTTTGCTTTACTGATTTTTCGCTGACGCATTTCATCCAAGGATCGTACAAGAGAGCGGAAGGTGCAGGCTTTTTTGGACTCGTTGGGGTAGATCCGTTCCACACGACGACTCTCCCGTTCCTCCTGTCGGATTCTGCTGTCGGAGTACAGGATTTGTTTTGACCTTTTCCTGACCTCTTTGACTTGATCCAGGGAGCTTTTGACTACTTTCTCCCTTGGTGATTCACTGGTTTTGCCACTAACCTCCATTTTGCTTTGTGCCCAGGTAACAAACTTATCGTTTTCTGGGGTTTCCTCTTCCCCGTTCGGTAGCAGAGGCTTTAGTTTGAAGTTGTTCGAAATCATGGAAGCATGACTATATTTCATGCTTCCTTGAGAGCCTTTGCGATAAGAGTCCATCTGAGTCAAAGCATCCTGCAGAGAATTCTCCAGTTTCTTGGCACTATGTCTGATTTTGTGGAGTTTTTCCTCTGATATAGGAATGACAGAGTCAGGAGAAGAAGCAGTTTGCATGGAGGAAGGAGAACTTCTCTCTATTGGAGGCAGATGGCTGAATTTAGGCTTCTTGTCAAACAGTTCCACTTTCTCATGCCTAAACTCCTCTTGTGCCTGCCTGTGTTTGTGAAACCTCTCCGCCTCATCATTTTTCCTCATCAGTAGTTTCTTTAGTTTGAGGTTTTCGGCAGTTAGGCTGTTGTTCAGTGCCTCTAGGTCAGTCACTCGCTGGGAGAGACTTGAGAAGCTTTGTTGGGTAATCAGGACTTCCTTTTGTATGTGCTCTTTAATCATCTCACACAGGGATGAATTGTCATTTTCTTTTCTCCGTAGAAGCTCCACGCATTGTATTCTATCCTCTACCAAGTAGTTAATCAGATCTGTCAAACACTCAATGTAAAGTGGCAGGGCGTATTTAGGTTCTTTGTCGGCTATTTTGAGTAACTTGTCTTTGTCCATGTTGCAGCACTCTGAGATGATATGAAGCTGTTCCGCACACTGATTCAGGACTCCTTGTATCTTGAGAGCTTCTCTGCGATGACTCTCGATTTCCTGCATGGCCATTCTGACCTTGTACGCCCATCCCTCCCGTTCCTGCTGGATCATAGACCCCAACCAATGAGAGATCTCTATAATGCCCTCCTGGAAGGATTTCCCGTGGAGTTTTGGAGATTCCTCATCTAAGAATTCTGAGACGGCTTTCTGGATGTCATCGTCTGTCCTTAAGGCTGACCAGTGCTGGGAGGTGGGGCTCAGGAGGTTTCCTTTTAATGTTCCCATTCTGGGATGAGATTATCTTCAAACTTTGTCAAGTCACATCTGTAAAGAAAAGAATTGTCTGTTAAGTAAGACTAGCTGGTACAGTCCTTTAAGAAAATTCACTGTTGATTAAGAGACAGCAATTTGGGGTTAATTTGCTAGAGACATGCATAATTTATACAGATTAACATCCATATACAGACAAATTGACACCCTGTATAGATAACTTGTCGGCAGCCCAGCATAAAGTACATTTAAAGATTAACAGCCTTGTGATGAAATAAGATAGTTGGAAAACTTTGGTTATGGTTAGTTTGCCAAAATTAGTTGACGTGTGAATCTGCAGTGTCATACAAGAGCCATTGTGGACAGTTTAAAGTTAAATATCTGAATGATTTTTAAATGAAATGTATCAAGTATGCATTTGAATGATAATTGGTTATAAAATGTCTGTTTTGTTACGAAATGTTGGCAATTGTATGGAATAATTGACTTAGTGCTTCAAATCACTTTAAACAGAGAAATTTATGTGTTGGTTGAAATTAAACTCAATGACATTTTACATTGAAGGTTTACATTGTATGATATCAGCGCTCAAACATAATTTATGAGGAAATTCTCAAACTTTTTATAAATCAATATGCAAGGCATGTCTATGTAAAATTTGATGTTTGACTATTGATTTTCCAGGGGGGACGATTGTCTTTTTTGATAAATGGTTTCCATTAATGAAAGTCTTGCTATGTAACAATTAAATTCACTCTCTTAAATTTTAAGGTATGACAATTTTCTTTACAGTGTATAAAACTATCATACACTTGGCAGATTTAGGTTTGCATTTATCTTTGAGGAAATTGAAAATTAGGAGTTAACATCCTATATCAAATTATTAAATGATTTTCTGAAAAAAAATCATTTTCCCCCAAAGAATCTTTTTTTTTTACTTTTAATACCCTTTGTATTAACTCATATTCAAATAAAGGTAAAATAATAATAGATGTCTGAATTGAAAATTATTTCAACAACTCGTAAAATAAAATGCTTAATCAATGAGAGACAGCTATAATCTTCCCAATGTCAAAAATAAAAATCAATCCTCAAGTCAATATTTAACTAACAGATTACAATGTGAAGAATTTAACGATCCTTTAATTAGTTTAAAAATTACTTTACTAAAATAAACTTGATTATAAAACATAAGGATGATTATTAGACAAAGTCAAGTTATCTTATCTGCTATAAAGTCAGGAAAGTCTCTAAATCCCGGGGTCTAAGATAGATTCCGCAGACTAAAGAAGGCTCCAAAATCCCCATGAAAAATCGGCACTTGTTTTATTTGAGGGAACGATTTCTGTCAGGTGAAGATTTAAAGTCCATTGCGGCGGTTTATAACATTTCATCAGCTACATGTATCTCCAGTACAAGAGCTTTAATTCTGTTGACAAAGAGTCTTAGTGTATTGAATTCAACAGGTCGTTTTTGTTGTCCAAATGCAATCTCAATCAATTATCATTTAGAATATTTTTTGTTCAGTTCAATTGATTTTATTCTGCCCAGTTGCTCTCCTACAATGAACAGGGGGTTCATTTAGGACACAGAATTCACATTGTTCTAGTTTGTTAGGTATTAAATGTTAATAAAAAGTAATTTGTATAATTAGGCCCATTATTGAGTTTATTGAGTTATATCTTAAGGATATTTTGTTATGAATTGAAAGGATTTCTTTCAACTTATCAAATGTTTCCTTAACTGGTCTTATTCATTCACTGATTTCCAACAACTTAAGACACTTAATAAGAGCCCAGATTCGACAGAAATGTTTCTGAAAAGAAACTATTATTTCTTGTTTTCTCTGCATTTTAACTGTTATAAAAAATGTTATTTAGTGATTGAAAGTGTTTCAAATTGACTGATTCAGACTGGGGGTTTGAACATCCTGCATAACTTGTCAATACCATTCACTATAGCTTTTCAAATATTTAAGTTAATTTATAAAAGTAGATTGGCAAACAAGCATGCAAAATGCCTATTGTGCCACAAATAAGAAAAAAAGTTTAATCTCAATTTATGACAAAAAATTCAATGTTTCATTTAACATTAACCATCAGTAGGTGAAGTGTTCTCTCCCTGAATGGAAGGTCATGGGTTCAAATCTGCTGCAACTGACTCAAATCAATAAAAGAACAGCAGCTTTTCCTTAATCAAGTGCTCAGCATATTGAAGTAGTGAAAGTTGCAGGTCTTTCAGATAAGACTTGTAAAAAGGGGACCCTTGTTAGGCCAAAATAAAATTATAGTTTGTTTGGAATTGCCTCCCGCCTCATTGAAATGCCCCCTCCTGAAAAAATTTTATTGACCAAGAGTACGAAGAATTTTTTTTTATTTAATCAATTTTTTTGCCCATTATTCATGTATCATATGCACCATACAAAACACCGAAAGATAGTGTCAGATCTATGTAAATTTAGGATTTTTTGTTGATGGAAGATTTTATTTAAAAGTCAGAAAATGTATTTACTTTTTACTAAGATTTTTATCAAAAATTTTAAGTTTTTCTTCAGTTTAAAAAAATAAAATAATTTCCCTCCCTCCCTCCTGTGTCTGAAACCCTTCAGGCGGCAATTCCAAACAAACAATTTTTTAAGGATGGCCTTATGGTGGACATTGTCACACTAAAGATCCCTCACTGTTCAATGGTCTTGAGTGCCAAGTCAAGGTCTAGATTTGAAACCCCTCTACTGGTATTTGGGGATGTCTCAATTTTTGGTGAAAAATTCTCATAAGGGGATGTAAAACAACATTCAATTATTTAACATTTATGTAACTATGCTTTGTGTTGAAGCTCCACAAAATACAAACATCTCACATTGAAATTATTCTATGAAATAGCATAGAATTTAATACATGTATATATACACAGAGGGCAAATTAAGTGAATTGAATCTTTAAACAATTTATTTTCATGTGAGTGGGTCTTAATGTTTTTTTTCACTCCATGTTTAGCTCAAGTGATCACCAATGTTGTCTGTCCATCTATCCATCCATCTGTAAACTTTTCACATTTTCAACTTCTCAAGAACCACTGGACCAATTTTAACTAAACTTGGTACAGAGCATCCTTGGATGAATGAGTTTGAATTATAAAAATGGAGGGCCGGTCCTCTTACAAGGGGAGAAGATCAAGAAAAGACAAAAATTAGTTGCAGGCGTTAAACATCTTCTCAAGAACTGGGGCAGAAAATTTAGATTTAAATTGTTCCAGTCGTCCACCCCTCCCCAAGAAAAGGTTAGGCCACAATAGGGAATCAGAGTTTTACATTTGAAATACATTGAAATAAAAAAAACTTTAAAAATCTTTTTCTCAAGAACCACTTGGCCAGAAAAGCTGAAACTTATGTGGAAGCATCCTGGGGTAGCGTAGATTCTGCATTGTTCATATCAATATCTCTGGGAGTAGCAGTGAGCCACAATATATATTACAAGAGGAGGGGGCTCTGGTGAAGAACAGAGAAAGGGGGATATATCGTAATGGGGGTTATTCATAAGTCCATAGCACATTTGGGTCCTCATAATACTGAATAGAACTTAATGAAAATATCAGAAAATCTTTATATTAAGCTCCTCTGAGCCAAAGGCTAACAGATCTTATTCTATGGTGATTTGTTTGTGGTTTTTATCAACTTATAAGAATGTGGGCAATATCTCAAGAATCCCATAGCGAATATAAAGAAAATTTGTCAAAGAATAGCCTTAACTCAGGGGGCTTTCATATATACTAAAAATAGGGATGTGACCCTTAAATGAGGAGAGATAACTAGGGGTAAAAATAAAAATCTAATAAAAATATTCCCACAAACCTCTGTACAGATAATCACCAAACATACACAGAAGGTTTAGGACATCCTGTAAATAAAGTAATTGTTTATAAGGGCATCACCCTTGGACATGGTCTCAGAGCCAATTAATTCAAAATTGACATAAAATGACATTTTGTTTGCAATTTAATATTGTATCAATTATTTTCAAATTATTTAAGGTGCATATCTTTCCCCTTGGAAGCATTAAACTTCATCAGTTGATGCATCTAAGTGACCAACTTTTAAAATTTTGCAGGTTTTCATATGGAAATAGTTTTAGATGCATACTAGGATACTGTGAAGCCTAGAATAGTCATCAAACCTTGTCAGTAGATGCATCTTATAGCCTCAAAGTATATCAATGAAAAGTAGGTCATCCTGACCTACTTTTGGAAATTTGTGGCTATATCTTAAATATTTCAGATAATAAAAGGCTTGGAGTCATCAATTTTTTTCAGTTGATGTGGATTGGGTCCTTGGAGTGTGTTAAAAGCCAAAAGGTAGGTCACAATGACCTACTTTTAGATTCTCAAGGCTTTAGCTAAGTATTTAGGAATTTATGAGGCTTTTTCAGTTGATGCATCTTTTGTCCTCAGGGGTGTATCAGCCAGTAATTCACAATGACCTTTTGAATGACACTCATAGTTGTATATCAGTATATAGGATGCTAATTGGCTAAGAATTGCCAAATTTCATCAGTAAGTGTGGCATCTTGGCTATAGAGGGGTATTAACTTTTTAAACATTCACAGTTAATTATAACATTTAACAATTTTTCTTTGCTTCACAGAGATTCTAAAAGGAAAAAGTTTTAGTGCATCTAGGCTTTAAGCAAATGAAAATGAGAAGGGTGTTTTCATTTTACCATCTGAAAATCTTGCTCCATAATAACTTTGGTATCTAGAATAACTTTGTGATATTATATAAAGCCTGTCAGTAAACTCACCACTTCTAGTCCATTAGTGTAATACAAGGTTGTTATGATACGTTGTCTCTTTTACTAAAGTTGATGAAATAACACAGAATGTTAATGGGTCTGTAAAAATTGTCCCAACTTTATAAATCCATCATACATAGAATCCAGTCACTGACCTACTGATGAGATGGTATCTTGTAAGCCTGGTGTCGATACTTGAGTTTTATAGACTGTTCAGAACCTGTTGTAGAGTAGGTGGTAAATAACAATATATCCCTATATCTACCCTGGATATCAGCTTTGTTTGTCTTTACAGAGGTTCAATGCTTTGTTACAATACACACTAGCTCTGTGATGCTGTTTCTTGTTTTGTTTTTTAATCAGTTATTGTGAGTGGGATTTTAAATGCTATATTTGACTTCTTTAAAAGCAAAGAAAGAAACACTTTGAGATGAGATTAGTCAATAAAATTTTATTAAGTTCAAATGATTTTATAGTTTATTAATTTTTTTGTTTGTGCAGTCACTTAAAATTTAATAAAATTTTATGCACATTCTTTTTCATGAAACTGTTCAATTTTGAAAGTGTTGATTATGCTTTGCAAGTCAGAATTTTTCTAAAGGCAATCAAACCACATTAATTTTTTAGTTTTGTTCAGTTGTTGTTGTGTGTATTTTGAGGCTAACTCAGAATGCTGCAAAGCCAATGTGAGAATTGTTTTGGGTTGATATACAAATTAGCACAGAGCACAGATAAATGTGGATTAATATCCTTTTTCAGTCTTTATTTACATCTCCAAGTAGCCATAACACAAACACAGAACATCTCTTTTGTAGATTTCATCAGTCTGTAACAATGTGTCAGTGTTGATCTGATTTGTGGGTCTATCTAGGCACTTGATAGGTAAAGCTCTACAGATCTGTCAATATTAGAACAAATTTTAAGTTAAAAGTCTCTATATATATGACACAGCCCTGGCACCTTTTCTGTTTCATTGTTTCAGTTATATCTAAAAATCTCCAAGCTTTTAAAATGGGACACACTTCCATTACGAGCTTGAAATACATTTATTCTGTCTCAATGTGTTATT